GGGTTTTATCATCTGAAATACGACCCTGACAGCTGTAAACTTCCGCATTGACTTTTACACCTATTCTTAATTTTTGATGATTCCCCATCAAAGACAATAAACGGTTAACTCGGCAGCATTAAACTGACATATTCAGCTTTAAGTACACTTCCAAAGAGTGGCATCGCACAGGCAATCGAACCAGCAATAGAAACAAAACAAACAAAAATGCGACTTTGTTTAATTTTATAGTGTTTGAATTCCGCCCTTTACAAAATGTATTTCAGCTTTTACTTTTATTCTACAAACAACAACAACAAATTCATTTTTTTTCACCAGCACATCTCTGAACAGAAGATAAAAGACGACTAAAATACTAATTTATTGTTTCTCACAATCCTGTCATTTATTTACAGAATAAAACGTAGGCCTATAAAATGATTTAAAAATATGATTAAGTGCATTAAAAAAGAGATGCAGCCTGACAACTGATGACAAATTAATTGACGATTGATTGAACCCTACAATAAAATCAGAATTACACTATACATATAAGTGGAAAAACTGGGAAATTATTGTACATATTATATGAATATTATATATGCAAAACTATAAGAAAGTATAGAAAACTATGTGAATATTTTAGCGATTTTGTGTTAAAGATGCTGAATAAGACCAGTGTGTGTGTGTCTTTACATCAATAGGCCACATTCTGAGGTTATAATGAGTTTATAATACTGCAATATTTATATACAGTTTGGTTTTTCTGCATTATACAGGATGCAGACGCTCAAATAACTAGCGATATACAATTATAAAACGAGGATTTTTACTATAAGATGTTCTTCCACAAAACAAACAAACAAATAAATAAATAAACGAATGATAAGATACATAGATCACATTCTAATTTTACATTTAAACGAGGGGATCAATGGAAAACAGTTGTAATGATCCAATTAATTATGGGCAAAATTAAAAGCAAGTGCAAAATCAATCTTTCACGGTGTCGAGGATAGAATCAAATTGATGCTCCATCTGTTCACGCCAGCAAGATTTGTAGCCCGGAGTATAGTAGCCTCGCTGCTGGAGCACAGGACACAGTGAGGAAATCCAATATACAGTACAGTGTCAGAGATATTTCTGTTAGTGTTACAGGATTATATGTGAAGAGGCTGCAGCTGAACTGCTGAAATCTCCTCCTGTCTGTTCAAATGTAAAATTATTAGAATTATCACTCATTTGTGCATATTTTAAGAGCAAATAACTGAGGCTTAATGACTATTTTTGACCAATTTAGTCTAACAAAGAGCCTTAAAAGACTATTAATTTAAGCGTGCAGGAAAATCTTAAGACTGCACATGTTTTGATATTATTCACAGATTTACAGAAGGTGCAAATTCTCCCCCCCAAAAAAAAACATTCGCCACGAATTCATCTAAATCACCATAAATCTCTTGACAGAACCCCCTCCCTTAAATCCAAAAGGATTAATATTCAACTTACAACCAGTGGTGTCAGCTCCCCTCTGCAGGGAAACTCAGATCGATTGGTGACGTTGGAATAACGCGAGACAACCAGCAGAGTCTGCACGAGAGGAGGAGGAAGAAGAAGAAAAAACAACACACACATACACACACACACACATAAATGACACCTCTCCCACCTCTAGAAATGAAAGTTCTTTACCACCACACTCAGGCGCCTCGATCATCCTCCCCACAGTTGCCTGAAAGTGTGAGCTGATGTTCGGCGGGTGGAGCTGCTGGACCCTCGGTGCTGCTTCTTCCCTCTCCTCCTCCTCCACCTCCTCCTCCTCCTCCATGCCACCTCTCCTCTCTCCTCCTGCACAGGCCATTAGGAAGCGGGGCAAAAGATAAATTGCTCTCTGTCAATACATTACACCTCTCCTAATGGGTGCACCCGGGCTCCAAAAACATTTTCCAAACTCTTGACATGCAGTGGCATCGTCTTAAATACTGCAGTCGTGTGTCAGGGTGGAAGTGAGCCAGTAATTGTGGGGAAATGTGTTCAAATTCGATTTTTCTGAAAGTGATACATTTGGGTTGTTTACTGGCTTTAGTGGTGAGATGATTACAAGCATCGAGGTTTAATAATTAAAGGTAAAAAATGCAGCAACAAAAAAAAAAAAGAAAAGAAAAGGAAAAAAGAGATAATTGATTCAGTCTTTGTATTGTTTAAATGGCTTTTTAGGAGCTCTCTGACCCCGTGTTGTAGCAGCTGAATAGAGCGGCCCCCTTCCTAAAAAGAGAGGGGTTATAGGGCCCATCTGACCACAGTGCCGCACGTGCTGTGCAAACACAAACCAAACAAAGTAAACACGTGAAAACGGTGTATTCGTTTGGATATGTGTTCAAAACAACAACTTCAGCATTTTGCACCCCCTCCCCTCTCCCTCCCCTCCCTCATCCTGCTTAATTTTTGCAGTGGGGAGATCAAATGCTGGGGGAGCAGGAGGGCATGAGGGAGAGAGAGAGAGGGGGAGAGAAAACTGAGGGAGGGGGTGATGATGATGGTGGTGGTGGGGGTCTTAAAGGGAGGGGGGGAGAGGAAAAAAAAAGAATGTAGCTTTAAGGGAAATGTGCAGCCGGGTGTGAAATTACAGCCTATAGTGCTACATATTGTACCAGAAGCTCACTCCAAAAACAGTAACAAAAAGAGAAATCATCCCCTAACCTGACCAGGAGGCAGAGCGCGAGATGTGGCCGCCTGCCCCTAAGAGATGCCCCCCAGCCCCACCTACCTACCCCACGAAAAAAATGGCCAAATATGTGGCAAGAGCGCGTGCATACAAAAATAACAAGGGGAAATTAGGAAGTCCCCAGAAAATATGTATTTTATTTTGAAATTGTGTTAATAATAATAATAATAA